TACGCTGAATAAGCAATTTTTGAGCAATGCGTAACCAAAAAGTTCAATCACTTTCTAAGATTTTATCCCGTTCTCTTTTTTCTGCTTATTCACAATCTTTTTTCTGTTTCACACTTGTTTTCGTTACCAACGAACTGTTTCATTTAAATGTCTAGACTTTTTTCTACGCTTTCATGTTCTGATTTAGGAAGTTTTTCCATAAGGAGTTCTGATTCGGGCAGTTCGCATTCATACCAGTTCTGATTCGGGCAGTTCTCATTTGGAGCAGTTCTGATTCGGGCGCGTTCTGATACGGGCACAGTTCTGATTCGTGGCAGTTCAGTTTCCATTTGGGGCAGCACCTTTCTGAAATTCGGCTTGAATACACAAACACGGAGGGGGCAAGAGCGGTAAATTGAGTATACACTCATATCATGCAGCAGGGTAGTTGAAAACATTAGAGGTAGTTATTTTGAAAAGTTAGTTTTTAAAAATCTAGGGAGCAAACAATATTAGGGTCAGTAAATAAGTGAGAGTAGTAGGCTGGTCGAACAGGCGTCTGTTTTTTCAACAGGCGACTCCGTTCTTGCGTTGAAAAAACAGGCGCCTGTTCGACCAGCCTAGAGGGTAGTAAAAGATCCTGGGTAGTAATTTACTAATACTAGTAAAAGAGTGGTGGGAGTAAAAAATCTAGGCATTTAATTCGGAGGGTACAAAAATTAGGGGGTACAACAGGGTAAAAATTGTTTTGGGGTACAAAAAGTCGAGGGTACAAAAAGTCGAGAATTCAAAATTTTCGATTCTAGGGTACAAAAATTTACCGATTCAGTAGGCATTGATTAAGGGGTACAACTTTTATGATTTAAGGGTACAAATTTCACGATTTTGGGGTACAACAATTTTTTTCCCATTTTTTCATGGTCATCAATTCAGTGAATGTTTTTAGTTGTTTCACAAAATTTTTTTACCCCGTGAATGTTTTGTACTCCGAACCGCTTGATCAGTTCCAGAGATGTTTATTAAATGAGATTTCATGACCCTTCGAAGCGTTTTGCTTCCGATAGACAGTGGTTCAAACGGCGACCCATTTACCCAAGTAAAGTTTTTTTCTCGAAATGACACAAAATACTGCATAAAACAAAGCATGGCTACACACGACTGTGTCTCGTAAGCTCTCAAAAATTAAAAACTGGAATGAAAACTTCGAAACTGTGCTTCGTGCAACTTTTGTACCCCAAAATCGTGAAATTTGTACCCTTAAATCATAAAAGTTGTACCCCTTAATCAATGCCTACTGAATCGGTAAATTTTCGAACCCCAGAATCGAAAATTTTGTACCCTCAACTTTTTGTACCCCAAAACCATTTGTACCCTGTTGTACCCCCTAATTTTTGTACCCTCCGAATTAAATGCCAAAAATTCTAGTAGTAAATAAGTATTTGCCAACGTTTTATTCCCAAGTAATTTCGGGCCAGTTTCGTACCTCTTTATAAAAGGACATAAAAAAGATTGAAAAATCTTCAATTTGCCCCATAGTCCCAAGATAACCCGAGGAAGTAGTTCGAGTACATTCCTTATTGGATGGGTACATTCGGAGGCTTTGCAGTTTTTCAAAAATTTTTTCGAAAGTTTACAAAGTTGCCATTCTTATAAATCATCGCTTTTCATAAACTGAGAAGTGAATTGTGTCAGCTGTTCTTTGCACGCACGTCCCAAATATATTATAGGCAAGACTTTATTTATTACTATTCTTGAGTTCTCTAATTATATTTTCAGATCAAATAATTCGCATGGAAGACCTGAAAATGCCATCAACGTTCGCTCCGGTAATTGGTTTATCGAAAGATATTTCAACGCAAGCATGCAATTGCCATTATCCTATTGGTCTCGTTATTTTTCTGATATTCATTATTCTAAGTCTACTCATTTGTATTTGTATTTGCTGTTTTGATTTCAACCAAGTAGGTCTCTATAAAAGACCATTAATTGGTCGAGAGTTACTGTCAACAAACAAAGTGTCACAAAAAACGCAGCGTTCCAATCGAAAGAGGCGCCAACGGAAAGCTGCTACTGTTCCCGTTGACAACACCCATGCGAATCGCGAGTGTTTTTTGCACTGCGCAGCAATGTCCTCAAGCAAATCGTTTGTAATCTAGTTAGGAGATTTCGTAATCTAAACCGAGTTCCTTATCTAGCTAGATGAAAATGGAATCTAAACTAAATCTAGCTAGATTTGACCAAAAGGTTAATCTAATTAGATGAGTTCTGAATCTAATAACAGTGTTTTTGCAATCTAATATGAAAAATTTTGCTTTGTCAATCTAGTTAGAAAATTTATCAGTTAGAAGAATTTGCAATCTAATCGCAGTAAATTAGAAATCTAACTAGGTCTGATTAGAAACGCGAATTAGCTAGCTAGATTAGAAACGATTTTCCTTGTGAGTCAGTATATTGCCAGCTATAGCCAAGCCTGGATCCCGGCGTAGCCGGGGTTCAGGCTTGTTTAAGTTATATATTTTTTGACGAAGACTTTTTCGTACACAGTAAGAAATAAATTTCAAGACGAGTTTTATGTACCTTAGTGTCGACCAAGAGTGGCAACCAGCGGGCACGATTATTTCAGATTGATCTTATTTGTCGACATTGTCCCATATTATTATAGGGGCACCGGACAGAAAGGGCGCGCTGTTCGCAATCTGGCCGAATTTCTAGGCCGCGAAGTAATTTTCCACTGAAAACGTGGCCTAACTTTTCAAACTCGGCCCCGAGGTCGCCCAATTTGCACTGCAAAAAGAGTTTCTCAACAGAGCGCCATTTCTGTGCGGTGCCCCTATAATATTATTGCGGTGTTTTTCTTGTAGTGGTGTTTGCGGACCACCGTTGTCAACCGTAACCGGCAAGCTTTAGATGATTATAATGTAATGCCCAACTCTTTAAAGGATGCAGTTTCTGAAATGAAAAGTTACCAGATACAAAAGTATCCGAAATTTTCAGTGTTTCTGCAGGGAGAACTCTTTCGAACACAAGTTCGGCAGATCAGTAAATGCAAGAACTGTCGAACCGAGCAAGTTTTTCATCGATAAGAAAGTGAGTTTCTCTTGTGAATCAGTTCGCACCTATTATAGGGGCACCGCACAGAAATGGCGCTCTGTTGAGAAACTCTTTTTGCAGTGCAAATTGAGCGACCTCGGGGCCGAGTTTGAAAAGTTAGGCCACATTTTCAGTGAAAAATTACTTCGCGGCCTAGAAATTCGGCCAGATTGCGAACAACGCGCCCTTTCTGTCCGGTGCCCCAATAATAGTAATGTTGCTTTTGCGTGTTGTCGCGTGGTGTACGCAGACTCCCAGGCGTGCTGAAGTGCAAGTTGCTGTGCACTTTTTGCGGAAAACACATAGTGTATTGCGTTTGCACACGGGCACTGTGTCAGCCAACACAAATTGAGTCGCTACGCAGCCAATTTAAGCGAAACAATTTTTCCCTGAATACTCGCGAGTTCAATAAAAATCTAAAAACAAAAAATTGAACGAAAATTTTGTTGTTCCCCAAAATCATGTTACTGTACCCCAAAATTGAAAGAAGTTGTGCCCTAAAATTGTGCAACAATTGTACCCTGAAATTGTTGTGCCCTCGAATTTTTGTACCCTAAGGTGTATATTATCGCGGTATTCCACTGCAATCGCGCTCAGTTCGCAATCTGGCCTTGGCCGCGAAGTTATTTTCCACTGAAAATGTGGCCTAACTTTTCAAACTCGTCCCCGAGGTCACTCAATTTGCACAGCAAAAGGAGTTTCTAAACAGAGCGGGATTGCAGTGAAATGAGTACCGCCATAATAACTCGTGTTAACACAAATTGTACCTTAAAATCGATGAAGTTGTGTCCTCGGAATTTAATTCTGTCTTTTCTCGTGAGTCTGTTCATTTCTCAAAAATCTGTTCTGCCCGGAAAGAGGCAAATAATTTATTAATATCATTGAGAACAAACGTTTGAAAGTTTTTCAGTTGTCCTTGGTGGAGCCCTGCACACTGGTTTCTGGATACAGCCAGTTTTATGACACACACAGGAAGACTTCGACATCTTCTAAATCTAAAAATTTTGAAAATTTATTTGATATTGGCATCACAGCTGAAAACTCTTTCGTGTCTATTGTATAAAAAGTGTTTAGAAACATATATATCAAAAGACTTTTAAACTGGGCCCGCTGCGCGATCCGAGCTGACGCTCGGAATCGGCTTTGCCGCTCGCTTGTTTCTTATAACTGTAAGAAAGTTCACGTGTTCATTTCTTTGAGAAATGAAAGTGGGATGGATAAACGAAGAAAAAAACAAACAAACAGAGACAGACATCATTATCATTCTTATTTAATAGAAAGTCAATTTCTTTTTTTCTTTCTTTCCCGTTTGTCCGAACATTTTTTCGTTTCTAAAACGGAAAAAGTTGTGACGGAGAAATTAAGAAATGAAAACGTGAACTTTCGAACAGTTTTGAAAATGAAATAAGCGGCCAAGCCGCTTTCGAGCGTCAGCTCGGCCTGGGCATGCAGCGGGCCCAGGTTTCAAACGTTGTTTTTTTATTTTAACAGGAAGGATGATTATCCTCCGCAGTGAACACAGGTTCAGAAATCTTGTAACTGTAGATAATGGGGCTATTCAGCGTATGTTTGTTTTCCGTTCTTTTTTCGTTTTTTTACATCGCTGAATTGGATTTTTTGACTTAAAAAAGCGAAAAAATCATTTTTTTTTCACAGCCTGAATAACCCCATAAGTTGAGAAAAAACCTGTGAGATATATTAATCTTAAGATCACTACTCATAACCTTACAGAATGCCACTTTTCTGTGCATTATTAACATTTTTTAATATTGGCGGTCGACAGAGATATTCCAGAGAGCCCAACTGGATGACTGACCAGGCGCGTAATGCTATCAACAGTTTTGTTCACTGTGAATCTAGAATTCTTATCAGTTTTTACATGCAGAAAAAGCAGATACGACCAAACCTACCTCTTCGTATTGTGTTTGATAATGAAAACGGTCTCATTGCTTTGGACCCACCTACTGACGGCTGTGATAGCAGTAATATTAACAACAGGAATATGGTTAACGGTCAATCATGTCATCATTGCACTTTCCCGAGAATTCAATCAGGCCTTCTTTAAATTTACGAAATTGCCAGATTTCAAGCCGTTTTTGGTTCTAAAACCACCAAATTCTGCATTCGGACAGTTTTCATTCCAAAACTTTTATTGGAGAATATCTCTTGTAGTGTCATTTGAGCTTGAAAGGTGGTATACCGATAGCAATTTTAATCCTACTTAATCAGGCTCACCGAAAACGTTGATACGGAGACCCCGGTGACAAGATCATGTAGTAATTGAGGTGGTGAAGTAGTTGAGACAAGAAAAGTAATTGAGATTTTGTAGTGATTGAGATAGGATGAAGTAGTTGAGGCAAAAAGAGTAACTGAGCCCATATATTATAGGGCACCGCACAGAATTGGCGCTCTGTTGAGAAACTCTTTTTGCAGTGCAAATTGAGCGACGTCGCAAACTCGGCCCCGAGGTACCTCGGGGTCGAGTTTGAAAAGTTAGACCACGTTTTCAGTGGAAAATTACTTCGCGGCCTAGAAATTCGGCCAGATTGCGAACAGCGCGCCCTTTCTGTCCGGTGCCCCAATAATAGTAGTTTGTGTATCATTCAAACAAATTTTGTGTATCATTCAAATCGAAGCACTTTTTCGAGTCAGGCCTTTCTCGGGTCTTTCAGAAATCGTCTCTTATAGGACAGCCACACCAACTTTAAAGCAAATCTCAAGCGTAGTTTACGCAAAGCTTAGGCAAAACTTTAAATAAACGTTACAACAAATTGCCGAGAGAAAAATTGATAATACCTACCACGACACAGTGTTGAATTTTATTTCACTAATTTCTGCAGACATACTTTGTTGCCGTTTCTCCCAAAAACAATGAGATCATCAACAATTACAACTACAATAACGGTACACCATCGAATGGTCCGTCTTGCCGAATCCCAGATATGCCAAAATGTGAAGAAAGTTGCGAGTAAACTGTACCACTTACAAACTTATTTATATTTTTACATATTCAGATTTGTCATATGTGAATCAATTCCAGAGGGTCTCGTTTTTAACTCAAGTTATCCAACTTTCACAACAACAACCGATTGCTGGATGAGACTGATGAGTGAGTTCGAAATCTCAAAGTCTACCAGTGTTCTCTATTGATGAAAACTGTTAATATTGAGCTTCAGATGAAGCTACCGATGATATTCTTATTGGTAGCTACTATTGGAGTTTGTTGGTCAATGATACTGGCGATGGCTATTCAACGGATGCAACCAACACGAGTGGAGATGTAATTATTTTTTCTGAAATATTAAAAATTACTATTCTTGCCTCTACGCGTCCACAGCACACACCTTTAAAATTTAACTTTTTTTTCCGGGGCGCACACACGCAGTAATTTAAAATATAACTTTTGCACAACCTACCATATAAAGTTATCTAAACTTTGCGCAAAAGTTACAGAGCTTCACCCTGCCGATTTGCCCTGTCAACCTTGTCCGATCCATTACATCAAAACTTTGCTGTCCAAAATTACACAATTACTGTAAATACTGTATCAGAAGGGTAGGCTGGTCGAACAGGTGCCTGTTTTTTTCAGGCGCATGTTCGACCAGCCTACAGAAGGGCATCTATTATAGGGGCACCGCACAGAAATGGCGCTCTGTTGAGAAACTTTTTTTGCAGTGCAAATTGAGCGACCTCGGGGCCGAGTTTGAAAAGTTAGGCAGTATTTACAGTATGTTGCTCCGAATAATAATAAAAAACTCCAGGGTGCTTTGATCTACAACTCAATTCTATCTACTGCCATGAAGCGGAACGTATCAGTTCGAATTACACAGAATTATAAGGAAGGAGGTTCGCCTGTTTGTCTTCGTTTCAAAAAAAAGTGCTCATGCAGGGTATTGGGAAACTTCCAACCTTGTGGAGAAGTCGAATGGAAAAGTTCGCGTAAGGAGTCTCAATTTCGAAAATTGGTAGTAATGGACCTGTAATGGACCTATTGAGTCGAGTAAAATACTATTATTTTACTACTTTATTTTTACTACTAGTATTTTACTACTAGTATTTTACTCGACTGAATAGGTCCATAAAACAAAGAACAACGATTAACAATCTTTCATAAGTAGGTATCCCGGTGGAATATTGCACACAAAGTCTTGGTCAATTGACGGTCGACACTTTTACATCGGATCCGCCAACTTTGACTGGCGATCACTGACGCATGTCAAAGAGCTCGGTTTAGCAGCATTCAACTGTCCATGTATAGCAGAGGATCTCAAAAATCTTCTAGAAGTTTATTGGAGAATGGGAGCGCCCGGAGCGACTGTTCCTGAACAATGGGACGACAATCTCGCCTCTCCGGCTAATCACGAACACCCTATGAGCGTTTTTCAACCAACAGGAAGTCAAGCCATGTATATATCGGTTTGTGATGAACACAAATTTAATAATTTAGGGTGATTTTAGTGTTTTAGTGGGCCGGGCCGAAAAATCACAACTATGCTATTTTCGAAAATAATAGAGCAGTCTGGGTAATCACTCTACCGTATACCATTCAAATCGAAGTACTGTCAGTTTTTCGTGCGGATCTCACTCAGAAATTGTCCCTTAAAACCAAGTTTGAGCAATTTTTAATAAGGATCGCTCTTTATAGGCTTCTCCTCCCGGATTTCAAGCTTGTGGCCGGGAAGACGATCTGGCAGCAATGATAAAAACTATTGACGAAGCGAAGGTACGTTTTTTTTTCATTTGTAATTGATGCAGTCACAGAACCACTCTACTTCTTACTTTTGATTTTAAGGCCCGCACTGGTCGAAGCGGGCACGCAGTGGCCGAGAAGTTGAAGCTTGCTAAACTTTTCCCCAAATTTTTCTATAGCATGTGAACCACAGCTGCTGTATCTCGCTTTGAAAAGCTTAAGCCCTATGAAACACGGGCATTTAATTCTGAGAGTACAAACAGTTTAGGGCACAACAATTTTAGGGAAAAAATTTGGATCACTACTTCCCTAATTTTTCACTTCTTTCTTGTATTTATGAATTTTCCGGCAGAAGCAGTCATACGGGCAGGCGGGCCGAGGCGGGCCGGGCGGAAAAGTCACAACTATGAATCTTTCTGGGATTCGACGGCATTATTTATGAAAAAAATGTTGTCTAACCCCAAAATTGTAAGAAGTTGTGCCCTAAAATTATGCAGCAATTGTACCCTAAAATTGTTGTCCCCTCGAATTGTTGTACCCTGTTGTGCCCTAAAATTGTTGTACCCTCGGAATTAAATGCCATGAAACCCTGCGACGTGTTTTGCGTCACGTGAGAAAATTTTGTGCTGTTCTTTTAAAGGCTCACCGCAATTTTCTTAATTTTGATTATACTTGGTGGCATGTAACTATTTCCACAAATTCATGATAAATTGAAAGAATATATTAATCAGGACTATGTTTACCTCGCTGTTATGGACTACTCTCCTTCGACCTTGTATATGAAAAATGCAAACAAATGGAAACCTGAATTGGACAATGCTATTAGGAGAGCCGCATTCGAAAGAGCTGTGCAAGTTCGTTTTATGGTATCTTTGTGGCCTCACACTTACGATGATATTTACGGTCTAATGTACTCACTGCAAGATATTTCCGACCATTTGCCATGCTACGAGTACAATGACAACGGTGAGTGTTTTTCTTGTTATAGGGTTATGCAGAGGGTTCAAACACAACTGCTTTCGTTTTTTCCAATACTTCCTATTGTACTCCTCTAAAAAGTACCTCGCTAGCTCGGTTTTCATTCAATTTTTAGTGGTGTATTCACAGTTTCTCGAACTTCTTTGATTTAGACCAGCCTAGCTCGGTGTAAGGTTTCCGAAGTGAGATACAGCTTCACGTGATGTACAAGGGTGGCCGAAGTTTTGTAATGCTGCAGAGGGAAGAAACGAAAACAACCTTTTCTGCTAACCTCTGCACAATTATAAATTCAGGGTCCTGTGTCAAAAAAGGGTCAATTGAAGTTCGGTTCGTGGAAGTTCCAGCTCTACAATATGGCAAAATTCCATACGCCAGGGTTTACCACAATAAATATTTTATAACAGAGAGTTCAGCATACATTGGTAAATAGTAATACAAACATTTTTTTTGCTCACAAAAATATTTTGTCAGGAACATCGAACTGGTCTTCGGACTATTGGCAGTACACAGCCGGCATTGGAATAATCATTCGTTGTGACGATGCAACCGCCCATTCAAAGTTGGTGCAGCAATTTACGTCAGTGTTCGAAAGAGATTGGACGTCGGCCTACACTATTCCTCTCCAGAATTTCACAATTTCCGGGAAATGGAAAACCTCAGTCAATCAATTTGCTCATTCGTAAAATTTGAGAATAAACCGCTGAAGCATGAAATTTATTTAACTTACCTCAATTCTTACTGAACACATAACTCGTTTCTGCTCTTTGGCTCAATGTATTATTCGTCTATTTCAAGACAAGAACTTCCAAAAAAACGATCAAAATCTAACTTTCACAAAAGTAACTCAGGAAAGATAAAAATCAGCGATGATTCTAAGAACTCTCTGAACCCCGACATTAAAAAAGGAAATTCTATTTCAAAAAGCACTTCAGGTATTAACGAACTGCTCAGCTTGAATTATGAGCGTATTCAAACTGAAAAGGTGGTGAATTTCGGAAAACTGCGAGAAAATTAATATTTCCAATTATAGCGCGATCCGCTCACTCAGGAAACGTTCGATCGCGTTTTCTCCGGAAAATTTACTAACATTCCAAAACCTCAAAGCAAACTCGTCCGAGTTTTCACAAGGTGATGAGAAGGGCTCATACTTCAGATATTTTTAGACATTTTTTAGACATTCATAGACATTACTAGACATTATTAGATATTAGTAGACAATATTCGTTATTCGACATTATTAGAAGTTCATAGACATTATTAGACATTGTTAGACATTATCAGACACATCCTGCAAGGGGGCATTTACTCTTTTAATTTAGCTCAACTTTCACTGATACTACAGTCGAAAGAAATGCATTAATGGAAGATATATACCCCCGACTCAAGGAGTACTGCCGTGAAACATACGGTCTCGATTTCCAGGTACCGTTACATCTTGAAATCATCAAATGTACGCTTCTCAATCTAGGTGGTTGATATGAGATGGGGAGTCAGAGATGAAGCAACTGACGATCACATGACTACAAAGTTGTGCATTACTGAAATAGCAAACTGTCAAAGACTTTCTGTTGGAGCAAATTTCGTGGTATTTCTATGTCAAAAGTATGGATATCGGCCTATTCCGTCTGAAGTTCTTTCAACCGAGTTAGAATTGCTCAAACGAACCCTTCGAGAGGATCATGAAGACGTTTCTCTTCTGGATAGCTGGTATATCGAAGATACGAATTCTGTACCTCCAATGTTTGTTCTTCAACCGATAAGTAGTATTCTTGTCAACTTTAATAACAAGGTAAGAGTAACGCTCAAGTTTTCAGCATGCTTTACTATATTTTTTTAAATACATTATCAGACACAAGAATATTTAAAACAGGGCCCGCTTGTTTGTTTCTCATAACTGTTCGAAAGTTTCCGTGTTTGTTTCGGCTCTATCCTGGATGAGCGGTACTTTGCAGGAATCAGGGGTACCAAGAAGGAATGAACGGTACCATGGGGGAATCAGTGGTACTATGGCGGAATGGACGGTATCATGGCGGAATGGACGGTACTATGACGGAATGGACGGTACCAAACGGTGAATGAACGGTACCAAACAGTGAATGAACGGTACGAAAACGCGGAACGAGCGGTACCATAGCGGAATGAGCTGTATCATAGCGGAATGAAGGGGACCAACGACTGAATGAGCGGTACCAACGACTGAATGAGCGGTATCAACGGCTGCTAATAGTTTTTACGCGTTTTAAAACCAATGTTTCGTTTATTTCGTTTTCTTTTGTTTATATAAGTAACGTGATAATGAAAATAGGACAACGCGAATTGCTGAAGACAGAAAGGATGAAAGAAAAAAACGATGTCACGAAAAAAGAATCGGAGCAGGATTATTTAAATTTTCATAGACTTGCGGCTGTTGTTCGCTTTCACCGTCTTCCCCCTCGTCATCAAGTTGTTCTCCGTCCTCGTATTCTTCAGCATGTGTTGGCTGATCGGTCCCATTCGTGTTCGGTTGATCGGTCCCATCAAAAGCGATATAGGGCACTTCCACATCTCCCGTAATTAGGAGCACTTGATCGTTCGTAAACACCAATCGGTGCGGAAAGAAAAGAATATAAACGTGGTCTGTAATTAATTAATTCGGAATCGGTCGTCTTTATTTACTGTTCAAAGTTCGCTTACTTCTATTCCGTCATCGTGGATTTCGATTTGAATTGTCACTTCACCCAGAATTTTGAGAGGGATTATCGTTCTGTCTTCAAAATCCCAGAACCCTCCGTATCTTATATTAAAAATGACAAACAGTGAAAAACTTAATCCTGACTCGTTCAGTCGTTGATTGCGCGTATTTCGTTGAGGTAAAAACTATTTGCAGCCGTTGGTACCGCTCATTCAGTCGTTGGTACCGCTCATTCATACGGTGGTACCCCTCATTCCGCTATGGTACCGCTCATTCAGTCGTTGATACCGCTCATTCCGACATAGTCCCACTCATTCAGTCTTTGGTATCGCTCATTCCGCCATGGTACCGCTCGTTCAGTCAATAATACCGTCGGTTCCTCTATAATACCGTTTATTCCGCGTTTTGGTACCGTTCATTCCGTCGCTGGTGCCTCCCATTCCGTTTCTGGTACCGTCCATTCAGTCAATGGTAATGTCCATTCCGCCATAGTACCGTCCATTCCGCCATAGTACCGTCCATTCCGCCATAGTACCGTTCATTCCTTCTTGGTACCCCTGATTCCTCCAAAGTACCGCTCATCCAGGATAGAGCCTTTATTTCTTAATTTTTTCCGTCACAACCGTCAAACCCGTGAAGAGTGATATGAAGAAGAATGATTACTAGACATTATTAGACATTATTAGACACAATTGTAATCAACGAGACCCTTGGAATGATCGTAGAATACCGATCGAAAACCGATTGCTTATTTATTGCAGAGAATACCAAAACTACAAGAACAAGACTCTAAGCAATGGTGGGAATGTGAAGCCAAAATGCAGCAAATGCTGAGAAAGGGAGCGAAAAGTTGTTACGAGAAAGGACTTTTGGACCACGAGGCAATGCACAACTACTTCATGTCCGTCACAGAAAGGGAAGTCGTCCATGGAATTTTGAAAACTAAGAATCCAAACGAGCACTGTTTGTGCTATATTCGTCACATAAATAACATAGCACTTTCACAAATGAAAACCGCCTCGAAGTTTGTCGACATTGCGCATAACCATGTGAGTAATCACAGTCTCCTGTCACAGTTATTTCCGAAACTGAAGCGTGTTTAGGTGTTCTTCAATATCGAAGTTTGTATGTACACAAATGTACAAACTAAACCATTAGACTTCAGTGAGAAATTTTCCAAAAATCGTGATTTCTCGAAAAAGTGGCTTTAGCGCTTGGTCATAATTATAGGTTCACCATTGAAATTAGCCAGCCACTGAATAATTTTTAATTTCAGCCATAACGTCTTCTAAGACTGATTATGACCGTTTTACATCGATTTCCGACAAGCCTCTCGGTTCCCAGATTTTTTGAACCAACTTTCATTGAGTTTTGGGTCAATCATAACTCTTTGTCTTAAAATCGAACCTAACTTCGGTTTTTTGGCCGGACGACAACAGGATCATTCAGGAATGAATATTTAGTGAGGTTTCGTAAAGTTTCATTGAGAATTTACGAGAATTTGATATCTTTTTCTAATGTTGAAGTGCTTTGGTCGACTAATCCCAAGTAAGTTTACATCTGGTTTTTGCTCAAATTTGGAGCAATCTCTGAGAGACTTGACGGCAACATGAAGGACCCAACCAACAATGCACTTGCCAAGTTTGGTACGAATCCAATCATTCTGACCAAACTTCGGAGACGGTTGTCAGTTTCGATCCTTCAAAAAATGCAGAAAAATTTCATGCTCCGGATTTGCTCGAGATTAGGGGGGAATGAAAGCTCCCATGAAGGGTAAAAAACGCGTAAAAGGTTTCATCTCTGTTCTGGTGTTTAGCCGAGATATGATCAAAAGTATTCAAAAACGGTACATCTTTTTCGAAAAGTCGCATCTCCGTCAGTTTTAGAGTAAAACACTCGGTAAAAAAAGGAAAATGTAGCTAATGAGATGATCTTCAAACAGGTAATTGATTATCATCGGCAAAACAAACTCTCAAAAGAGATATTCAACAAAATATGAAAACGCTTGTACTTATGTACACCATTTTACGAATAGATTTTGACGGGAATATCACCATTAGATTCAGCACCCGAAATAAGGGCCGTTCACAAAAATTTTGCCTTGGAAAATCGCTTAGACGGAAAAAAAGTTATCGATAATACACTCTGTCCATGTTTTCTTGAGGATCTGTCTGTTTGCTAGCCTGTATCTCCTCAACCGGTAGAGATACCAAAACGTGCTCAACTGAAAAGTTAAAGGCACATGTCTAGGCTCTAAAACTTTCGTTGAACGCTTTTTGATATCTCTACTCGTTCACAAGTTATGGCCATTTCCGAGTGATCACTCTAAAACTGATATTATCGAATTCAAGGAGTGGTCCTACAATTTTGGTCTCAACATAAAAAATTCTCAATAAGAGGCTAGACATCAAATGTCGTTTAGCCTGTGTTGATCCGATCTTTTTTTTTAATTTTATGACTCATGCTTGTTCGAATACCCTTCTCTACTTGACGGTAAGACAGTCACACTTCAAAAAAGATCGGATCAACACAGGCTAAACGACATTTGATGTCTAGCCTCTTATTGAGCATTTTTTATGTTGAGACCAAAATTGTAGGACCACTCCTTGAATTCGATAATATCAGTTTTAGAGTGATCACTCGGAAACGGCCATAACTTGTGAACGAGTAGAGATATCAAAAAGCGTTCAACGAAAGTTTTAGAGCCTAGACATGTGCCTTTAACTTTTCAGTTAAGCACGTTTTGGTATCTCTACCGGTTGAGGAGATACAGGCTAGCAAACAGACAGATCCTCAAGAAAACATGGACAGAGTGTATTATCGATAACTTTTTTTCCGTCTAAGCGATTTTCCAAGGCAAAATTTTTGTGAACGGCCCTTATTTCGAATGCTGAATCTAATGGTGATATTCCCGTCAAAATCTATTCGTAAAATGGTGTACATAAGTACAAGCGTTTTCCTATTTTGTTGAATATCTCTTTTGAGAGTTTGTTTTGCCGATGATAATCAATT